TTAACGTGTGTAACCTATGTAATTTATGCGTAAATTTAGCGTTTTTTTTAAACTTTTCGAACTTCTTAACAGAAGAAACAACATTCATACGTCTGTTTGCTTTTTTGAAATTTCCCCTGCAACGGCTTCCGAAAACTGCCTGGCGTAGTACCACATAATCATCCCCCAGCAGAAATGTTTGGGGCAAAGTGGTAAAGCTCAAAATAATCCGGGAACAACTCAAAATGGCTAAAACCCTGCCAAATGCTTTCAAAAAAAAACGAAAAAAAAAAATGTTAGGATCGCCAGCAGGCTAACCATCAGATAGTACAGCACTGGTCAAAGCAACTAGAGAGTTTGCCAACTGTACAGTTGGCAAACCAGACTATGACAGATTCAAGTATACATCTCACAGGACCAAGGCCAAAAATTACTTTTACGTTGAAAAATTTCATCAGGGACGTTTGAAAACAAGCAACTACACCTACTATCGAAAAAATTTCAACGTAAAAAATTCTTTTAACATAAGAAATTTTAACGTAAAAAAATTCTTCGGGGTTTACGCACCGAATTCTCTCTACACCAGTATCAGGAGCAAGTGGCAGCAATGCATGAACAGGGGCCCGGCACATCGGGCACGAAGTCTCGATACGGATTTCCAGTGGATCCTCAATCGATGCACGTGCATCCTGAAAGATGCGCAGGGTGAAAACTTAGGATCAAAGAAGTACCAGAATTAGCATATTTCGAGAGCATAAAAAAACTCTTCTCATCATTACTTTCGATTTAATCATTGTTCTCTTTTACCCTACCCTTACTTTTGTCCCATAAAATTTGCCATTCGTGCATGTCGAGTCTAGTTATGTTTACAGCTAAGGGATGAAACACAGACTGACAGCTTCTTGATATGCTCTTTTAATACATGACTTGTAATTACTACACTTGCCTTCTACAATATTTCGTACATTTAAAAGTCGCGAAAAAAACTAATCAAAAACATACCAGTAATGTTTGCAAATAGGTTCTGTAGCATTCCAAATGAGCATAATGGCCGCAGGAGCGAACTTCGATGCCACTTGGGGCTTGCACCAAATTTCCCATTTTTGGATAGAACTGTAATAATAGCAAAAATCAACATCTTCATTTCTTTAACACTTGTACAACAGTCATAGGTGGTGGATCCAGGGCGGTCTCCTAGAGGGGCGACGAGTGGGGGGTTTTACCGGCGACGAGCGCAATGGCGGGG